AACCATGGCAACTCCCTCTGTCTCCTTTTAATATGGTCATGTTGTTTATAATATATCGCAGAGTGGGAAAGACAGGAACACAAACATAGGTTTGCTTTTTAATAAAAATCCCCATTTTAATGAAGTCCAATCCATGAGTCATGGGACGGAAGATTGGTTATGTCAGCAGCCTGGAATTCAGGAGGTTTGGTTATGCCAGCAGCCTGGAATTCAATCCCCAGTTGTGCCACAGGCTTCCTATGTAACCTTGGGCAAGTCATTTATACTCTGTAAAATGCGACCTATGATACTTCCTTTCTCCCATCCTTTGTCAATCTACATGGTAAGATGTGTAGGTATTTGGGTTGTAAACTGTCTCTTACTTGGGGTACCTACAGCACCCAGCACAATATCTTGATTTTGGCTAGGTTGCTGTTGTCAGATATAAATATAATGATTACAGTAGGATCCCAGAATTACAAACTCGCCAGCCACACCCCTTATCTGGAAACAGAAGTACCCAGGCAGCAGCAGAGACATAGAAGATAGACAGATGCGTGCACACACCAGCAAACGCAGTTCAGCACTTGTGTGACAGCCTCCATTCCTGAAGTGTTCACAACACTAAGGTTCTCCTCTTATGTAATTCATCACTTGTTTGTAGGAAGACTGCAGGGTATTAATTTAAATCCTTTACCCACGTCAGCACAAAGGGTGAATTGCCCCAAAATCCATAGTGGGCAGGATGGCATTCTCTGATAGAAAATGTTTGTGATCCCATTAGGATGTGCTGTGACTTAGATAACCAGTCACCGAACACAAATAATGACTTGCAAAATGACTCAGTCTGCAGATGAGGTGTCCGCGCTATTCTGCAGTACAAGACAGGAGGACTAGGTTATTTAAATGATTCACTGACCAAAACTGGGACTATGTTCATATGGTATCCAGCTGGCTCTAAGATACAGCAAAACATGGTAACAAACCGATAAGGTTGGCAGGCGTCAGAACTATTCATTTCTGTAGAAGCTCCTTTATCTATAGTGGTGACAGCCTGTCCTTTTGGTCAGGAAAAGTTATGTCCATCTAGGGGCTTGTCTATGCTAGAAAACTACATTGCGTTAACTAACTAAAGTGTCACACATGAGTGTGCACAGTTTTGTGTAATAGGGAACATCATGTCAGCCGATTGTGGGTACTGACTTAAAAGACCATCCCTACCTGTGATGTTCCAAATAGCCATCAGTTTGTTACAAGTATGATGCGTCAGGAAAAGTTATGTCCATCTAGGGGCTTGTCTATGCTAGAAAACTACATTGCGTTAACTAACTAAAGTGTCACACATGAGTGTGCACAGTTTTGTGTAATAGGGAACATCATGTCAGCCGATTGTGGGTACTGACTTAAAAGACCATCCCTACCTGTGATGTTCCAAATAGCCATCAGTTTGTTACAAGTATGATGCCAGCC